GAAGTATGTCTTGGATCTTCTTCAAGAGACAGGGAAGTTTGGAACAAAGGCAATCAGCACCCATATTAATCAGAACCATAAAATCAATGTATCAGAAGGTGAACTAGTAAAGAACATTGGGAGATATCAAAGACTTGTGGGTCGGCTGCTATAGTTGTGTATGACAAGACCAAACATTTCCTATGCAGTAAGTGTAGTAAATCAATACATGCATGCTCCACGAGTCCAGCATTGGGAAGCAGTTGACAAGATTCTTGCTTATCTGAAGGGACACCCGGGCAAAGGCATATTGTTTACTGATCATGGACAGTTGAAACTAGAGGCTTATAGGCTTGATGCCTTGATGACAGGAGATCAACTTCAGGAGTGTGCACCCTTGTTGGGGGTAATCTTGTCTCATGGAAGAGTAAGAAACAAACAGTGGTGGCAAGATCAAGTGCTGAAGCCGAATACAGGGCCATGGCACATGGAGTTTCAGAACTTCTCTGGATCCATTCCCTGTTAGAAAAAATTGGTGTACAGGCAGAAGAACCTATGATGTTATACTGTGATAACCAAGCAACAATTAACATTGCCCATAACCCAGTTCAACATGATCGAACTAAGCACATTGAAGTGGATAGACATTTTATCAGAGAAAGGGTAACTTCTGGAGAAGTTTGTCTTCCATACATTGCTTCTGATCTGCAGCTCGCTGATGTTCTCACAAAAGGTGTTGCAAAGAATCTGATGTTCTCACAAAAGGTGTTGCAAAGAACAAGCTAGAGCATGATCTACGCAAGTTAGGAGTGTGTCACATTTACTCCCAACTTGAGGGGGAGTGTTGAGTTGGTCCGAGTTGTTTTTTATTTAGTTAGGAAGTTGTTGGGCTTTAGGCCCATTAGTTTATGTTTTTTTAAGTTGTGACTGTTCATCTATATTAGTAGCCGCCTACTAAGGGCATCCTTGTAATATCTCATCCTTAAGTATAAATATAATGAGAGGTAGGCGGCTAGGGTTAATTTTACAATCCTGGTTGGACTTCCTACTCTTTTCTTCTTCTCCTTTCTTCTCTATTGCTGAAATCTTCATCTTCCCCCTCTTTCCTTTCACAAGAAACTCGACTAAATCTGCAATTAGTGATTTCTTCTAGTAGTAGCTGGACAGGATTCAGATATCCCCAACTCAATTGACATGTATCCAATTCAAATTATAAGACACCAATATACTTCACATGACCTTCACATTTTGTAGACATGATTGGCAATGGTTAAAAGGAAAGGATATTTTGCAAAACAGAAAACCAACCCAATATATACTGTCTACAGATATCAAAACCCTAAATTCATCCTCAAATTTTTTTCCTTACCAATACCATCTTCTGCAGCACTCTGTGTACAGCCAACTGCATCCCACCAATCAACTCCAACCAAAAGGCTCCACCAAAACCTGCTCCAGCAAAACAAGAATTTAATAAGCATAGGTATACAATAATAAATGCCTCCTCAATCTTGTTACTCAATTGTTGGGGCACCTGTCTGCAATCGCACGCTCCCAGGTTGCTGCATTAACCTTCACTTGACTACTAGGAACAGCAGGAGGAAGAACACGGATTATCTTCAAAATAGTTCGGTCCTTGTTGTTATCATGCCAAACAGTAGCTAAACAGCAGCTAGTAGAAGAGAAAGCAGGTGTAGCAATTGCAGAGCCAACATTAACAATGTAGTTATCAACTTCAGTGAAGCTTGCCCCAGAAAATATGTGGACCCCACCCCGGAGAAAAGCTACAGCAACCTCACCACCATGAGCAGAATAAACAATTCGAGCTAGAGTTCGAATATCACTAGGCAGATCAAAGGGATCAAAATAAACCCTGTTTCCTTTATCAACCGAGGAATCAGGTGTACTTCGTTCGTTGGGGGTTGGTCCTGATTGACCGGCTGATGGACTTTTAAAATCACTTGTTGGTGGAATGCTTTTATTAACTCTAGTCAGCCAAACAGTTTGCATTGGTGCCTGCCCACCAAAACTGGATGTGGGGTTACCAAATATTGGATGAAGGACAACAGCTTGGAGAGATGATTCCCAGCGCTGCACTCTCCATCCTGTGATTGATGGGCCCTCATCGGGATCATAAGGGGACATGTACTGCCCTGAAAAAGTGCCATCCCTTATTTCTTAGCTCAGTATCACATAAAAGAAGCAAACATGGGTGCAATCTAGTACAGGAACCCATTATTGTGAAGAAAATGAGAAGCAATTTATGATTTGGATGACTCTACCATGTAAGTTTTCTTCAAAAGAGACCTTTTTTACTGCACAGGGCCTAATCTATAAAGAGGTCTAAGGCAACGACAACTGAATTTCTGACTCACTACATAGAGAACTGTGCACATAAACAGATAAAATGCAAACATAACACACTGCTAGAAAAGGATGCACTGCAGGTTAATGTATAAGAATAACAATATAGAAGTTTTTCTCCAAGTTAGGATACAAGTACCTTCAACAATCACAACAGTTATGACAGACCCGCCCCGTGTTGGATCAAAAGCAACTGCAGTTACTCCAGAACCCCATGTGGTGGTTGCTGATGACTGAGATGCTGCTTCAGGACTCACATACGCAGAAAAGTTCGAAACTGGCGAACAATGAAGTGACACTGTATCCTTTAACGTTCCTTCAGATCCCAAATACTCTTGCCAACTGAATAAATATGCAGCCAGAGGGGCAAAACCTGCCCAGCTAGGGGGGTTTACTGATGGTGGGACCCCATTAGTGGTAGTTGTTTTTGGAGTTGCCTGAATTCCATTCCCAGGGCCTGGTGTAACTTCCCAAACAACAACAGTAGATGGGTTTACAATTGGAACACCAGCTACATGCATTGTACCTGCTTCAGTAATGATAGCATCAGCAGCCATGATACCACTAGGCCCAGCTCCTAGCAATCCTTTGCTTGTGGAAAACCACTTTGATGCTGCACCAGTCTGGTTGGGAGGCCACTGAGACCAGTGAAGTTGAACAGATCCCGAGGAGAAAACGGAACAAACGCAAAGAAAATTTGGCCACCTAGCTGAAACATAGCATGTCCAAAAGACATTATGCATGTCCAAAAGGTAGGATAAGAATTTGTACTCTAAATATAGTATATCCATCTCAATAACATTCAGGCATGTTAATTCTGAACGCCTGGGAGAATTTGCAAATTTGCAACACACCTGAAGTTTGAGGCTGCTGTGAAAGAAACTTTTCCTCAAAAGCTGATTTTGAGTTTGCAGAGCTACTTGAATTCGAGGAAACCCACCTATACTGAGTGTGGAAAAAGTAAAACAAAAATGAAATATTTTAGAACTTACAAGAAAGAAATATGAAAAGAAGCACCAACTGAAGACATATTATAACAATCAAAATTAAAATCCCATACTACAGAAATACCCCAAAAGAATCTCTGGAATGCAAGCACTTCAATGATAAAATACATTAATGGCCACAAACAAGTAAAAAATGTACATACAACTCAGCAGTCTTTCCAACCTGTCATTGACCCAGCCAGTGGGAGACCATTCAACCAGTCACCCTGTCATGATTCCAGTTCAGGTTAACCCCAAAAGAGTCCTTGTTCAAGAAGAAAAAAAAAGACTTAGTCAGTAACCCACTGAACTGGGTGGTTGAACCGTCTACCCACTTGACCCAATCAACAGGTCACAGGTTACAAATTACAATATATGTGAAAACTTCCGAAGGCCATAACTTTAGACTCAGTAATCAGATCAAGCGATTATTTTTTAGATTTTGGGTAACTTTTTCATGATCTATGCAATTTTGCCCAAAAATACCCTTTTTGGCCTCAAATTTCAATTTTTAGCTTTTTTTTAATTGGGCAAATTTCTTAAACTACCCCTAAGGTTTAGGAAATTGACTAACTATACCCCTACTATTTCAGTATTGTCTTAAAGTACCCATACTGTTTCTAACAATTGTCGCCATCATTAAATCGTAACGGAGACACGAAAAGTCGTTTTTGCCCTTATGTTAAGAAAGGGCACCAAATAGTAAATTACTATTTTGACCCTATATTTATAACACAACAGACGTAGAGATGTTCCTGAGTAGAGAAGAACATACATCGTTGCTGGAGTGGAGAAGAACATCGTCACCTACAATGACAACCACTACAACTTCTGTTCGATGGTGCGACGGTGAGTCATCACCGTCGTCTCTCCAAATTAGAATTTAGAAACATAGATGCCAATATTGCTAGCCTTGAATGGGTCTGTTCACACGGCCCTATCTCCGTCGGGATTTGGATTGTTCAAACAAAAGGCGTCACTCCCCTCTTCTATGGCATTCCGGCTTCCGTCCTACGGCAAACACTATACTCCACCATGTGTATGGGTCTCTACGATGCCATGAAGCAAAAATGGTCTGACCCTAATTTGGGCAGTATGCCCCTCGTGCGCAAGATAGTGGCTGGCTTGATATCCAACGAAATTGGTGCGGTCGTCGGCAACCCAACCGACGTTGCCATAGTTCAAATGCAGGCCGATGGCCGCCTTCCCCCGCCCAACGGTGCAACTACAAGAGCGTAATCGATGCCTTCACAAGAATGTCGAACCAGGAGGGAATCACAAGTTTGGAGAGTTATCTTGCATAGTACTTTGCAGTACTCTACAAATCTTAAGTTTAAGATCCACCTTCAATATTTCCACCAAAATTAGACTCCACAACCAAAATTAAGAAAATAAGGAGAGAGAGCGAGAGAGAGAGAAGAAAACGAACTAGAGATAAGTTGCAGAAACCTTCATAAACAACAAGTACAAAATCAAAAGCTTTAACAAGCAAGTGAAGAGATGATTTGCCCTCTCAATCAAGAATTTCTACCAAAAATCAAAATCCACAAACTAAAATCAACAAAATGAAATAATAATGGATAAATCTGGTCGAAAGCTTTCGTTGAGGCAGATATCGAAATCCAAGAGAGGGGAATCTGAGCGGTAGTTGTGTTGTTCGATTAGCACAATGTCTACATGGCAATGGTCATGAGAAAAAGATTTGGGGTTCATTCCCAAACTAGAGCTCTCCAAGCAGCTCCAAAGCCTTCAAACTGAGCTCTTCGCCCTTGGAGGCAAGGACGGTAGTGCCTTACTCCGATGTACTAATACGCATTGAAGACAATGAGGGCAGAGGAGCCAATGGCACTATACAAGGGATTCATCCCAACATGGCAATGAAGGTTGTTGGGAAGGAAAAGGTGATCAAGGTTGGAATGATGGAACAGGTGAAGCAGGAGATTTCGATAATGAAGACGGTGAAGCATCCCAACATTGTCGAGCTCAATGAAGTCCACGCTAGCAAGTCCAAGATCTACTTCGCCATGGAGCTTGTCCGAGGCGATGAGCTTTTCTGCAAGGTTGCAAAGGGTCGACTGAAGGAAGACGTTGCACGCGCTTACTTCCAGCAACTTATCTCCGTCGTTGATTTCTACCAGAGCTATAGTGTATACCACCAGGATCTAAATCTTGAGAATCTCCTACTCAACGAAGAAAGAAATCTAAAGGTTACAAATTTTAGGCTTAGCGTGTTCTCCAAGCATTTGAACCCGGATGGTCTATTGCATACGACGTTCGGAACTCCGACGTATGTGAAAAGGGCATTTCCGACCATTAAAGGATATTTTGGGTATAGTTTAACATTAAATCAAACATGTGAAGTCACAAGCAAACGATCTATGATGGAGAGTTAACGGGAAGGGAGTTGTGCAACAATTGTCAAAAACAATAGGGGTACTTTATACTTTAAAGAACACTACAATAGTAAGGGTATAGTTAGTCAATTTCTTAAACCTTAGGGGTAGTTTAAGAAATTTGCCCTTTTTAATTTATATAAAAAATTAAATAAAAAAATAAAATAATATATACACAGAATGATTGAACTTCTGGCCCGCCACCTAGAGGAAAAAATAGGTCAGCCTCTGGGTCAGATTTAAAAACATTGCAACTCAGATTTAGTAAAGGTGAAGCACAACAAAAGGGGATGGACAAAAATATGGAACATTTTGGCCATGAGAAACATATTGAAGAAGTTAGTGAACATAAAGCATAACTGTTGAGACACAAGAGATATGGGCAAATTAAATAAGGCTAGAAATATCTTTATTAGGACAGGGAGAAGAATACCAAAGCCTATAAAGTTTACCAGGTGGCCTCAAAAGAGTCCATGAAATGCAAGTATGCAACCATGTGCAGATCCTGTAATGAAGTTTGTGAACAATATATATAAAACAAGTGGCTTAACAAAAAACTGGAAACAGAACATAAATTAGGGCTTTTTGTTGGGAGGTTTGCCATTTGAAGATCAATAATTTGCAAAAGAGGAGTCATAACTGGTGCATCCCACCGCACATATGTTCTCTTTGTGAAGCAAGTAAGAAATCTAAATTGCATCTACTAATCTCATGCAGTTATAATTCCAGTATTTGGGCCTATCTCTTTTTATAGGAAATGGTAACTTCATTAATTAATTAAAGAGTACGACTGTCACCACCCAAAAAGATGGTCTGATGGTGAGCCCTTAAACGAAACAGAATTACAAACAAGCCCAAAACAAAGCCTCCCTGTTGACTCCTTGCTTTGCTAAAGTGTCAGCCATTCCATTCGGTGATCTTCTAGTCCATTTAACCTGCACCCCAAGCTCCCTTGCTAGACACATAATCTCTCTTATATGCTGTCTGAAGGCCCAAGTTGCCAAGCTTCTTGTTTGCTGCCAGCCTATTACCAGATTGGAATCTCCGTCCACATCTAGTTGTTGCAGTCCCCATTGTTTAGCCAATCTGAGACCTTGAATATTTGGGGTTATCTCTTCTTTCTTTGGTAGTGGGTATCTTCCCCCAGGGTACATTGAATCTTTGTTCAAAGTAAACTTCTATAGTTCAAAGACAAGGAGGGGTAAGCTACTTTGGAGATGCACTAGGGCACCTACTTTATGATCTATTTGGGAGGAAAGAAATAACAGAGTTTTTAATGAGTTACAAGAACAAGGAGGCTATCATTGAATCTAACTTTTTGAGGGTGACAAGTTGGGTGGAGACATTAAGGATCTTTGAGCCTTTCTCTAAGGATGACATTTTGAGGGGATGGGAATACATGACAGGATACTCATCTTCAAGGCCAAACATAATATGGGAATGGTGTCGACCACCTTTGAACCATGTCAAACTCAATTTTGAAGGCTGTAGCATGGGTAAACCCTATTGGTGGAGTTGTTAGAGTATAGACAACTCGGGATCTTTTACTGCTCTATTTTTAGGTCCAATTGGAGGAGACTCCACAAGAGCAGAGTTACAAGCTGTACTACAAGGTCTGAAGAGTTGTGAGAGGTTAAACCCGGACAATATAATAGTTGAAGGAGATCCCAAAACTAAGGATATTCTGTGCAAATGGCAACATTGGCATACCTTAACACAAGCTAAGCAGTCGACTAGAGAAATGAGAGTGATTTGGATATTGATGTATAGAGCTACAAAGGTTGTTGCTGACTGACTTGCAAGACAAGGGGTAAACAAGGAAAAGTTGTCTTTAGAGGTGGTAAATGGATGGGTTGGGTTGGGTTGGATGACAGTTGAAGGCCAACCTATCCACCGACCACCCACATCCATTAGTAATCCATATTTCTATTATGTACATGGGTTGCAACTAAAAAGGACTTGGGTGGAAGTAAGAAATGATTTAAATGCCTATAGATTAACAATAGAAATGGCACTGAATAGAAGTGAATGGAAAAACAGGATTCATGTAGCCAATCCCATATAGTTGGGACAAGGCTTAGACAAAGATGATGATCATGACATGCGTTGCAACCTCTAGAAGTAAAGAGAGGAAGGGAGGAGGAGAAACAGCAGAGAAGAAGAAAGAATGTTTGCTGGAAAAGTGTCAATGGCGGCTACCTCACTGACTTACATATTAGGGTGTTTAAAGAAAAGAGAAAATTACAACGTTACTCTTGGTTACAACTTAACAAAGAAAAGATAATAATAGCAGTCTAATAAGAGCCTAACAGCAGCCCTAACAACACTCCCCCTCAAGTTGGGCTGTATATATCAATCATTCCCAACTTGGTACAAATATCAACATGTCAGGTACTAGTAACACCCCTAGTGAAGATATTACCCAATTGATCCGTAGAATTAACATATGGAATGCAGACTTCACCATCTTCAATCTTCTCATGAATGAAATGCTTACCCACTTCAATATGTTTTGTCCTCTCATACATCACAGGATTGTGGGCAATATTAGTCGCTGCCTTATTAT